CCACGTATTTCAGGTATATAGCCTGTACACACTTGTAGCAACTCTTTGCTTCAAGCTAGGCTGAAAACTTCAAAGTTTGAATTATTACTGCAATGTAAACATTGCTAAGCTGCATTCAATGATGTACTTACGTTATGCAGAACTCTTCTATGAAGTGGCAAATTGAATTACTTTGAATAAATATTACAAATTTTATATAAGAAATTTTAATTTACATTAGCCACTTTTCTAAACATAGTTAACCTAACTACAAAGAAAAATATGAATATAATTTAGAATAATTTAAACACAGCATGTATAACTCAGGTACAAATGAGGAAGATAGGAGTTGAAACGGAAGGCAAGATGCAACAAAACACTACTTGATTATGCCTTTGTTAGGTTATCTATCTGGATTAAAAAAATCCAAGTCCTATATCCTGTTTCTAGTTAGCATTCTGGTATCCTGGATATGTTTGAACACCAATGTCCAAAAAAAGATTCATAACGTGTTCTATACAGAGATGGAAGCCCTTCTTTAAAAACAAGAGCCATGATGAAGCAACTGACATCAGTACTTACAGCCAGAATGATCTCTCTGATGCCTGACACTCTTTCATTGTCTGCTGCTTTGGAGGAGAATGGTATACAGCTGCTATTCCATTACAATAAACCCTTGTCAAATGTACAGCTGGCAAGACTGTAAGCGCACTTCTTTACAGTGGAAGAAGACAGAAATCAGCTTTGCATTCAGCCAAGTAGGTTTTATCATGTTTTTTACAATGATAGTTCTGGTTTCCATTAAATTACTAGATAGCCATAAAGGAAGTTTTCTGACCTTTCCAGAATAATGGGTACACAGATTTAACTGATACCAAAAAGCATTTTCACCTTACTTACATCTCCACAGAAGTTGATTAATGTATGTAGTAGTCTGGATTAAATGGGTTGGATGAACAGCAACAGACAACAAATCCAAAAGATATAATGGTAGCAGCTTAGATGGGAATTTAGTAATGCAGAAAAATATACTTGAGAGTTGATCAAACTGTTAAGTCTAAGCAAGACACAGAAGAGAAGATGCATCCAACACATAAGTGTGATCACCAAGGCTATCCAAGCCACAGTTTCAAGACGGAAACTGATAAGCTAAAATTACTGGAAACGAAAGAGAAAAGTACAAAAAAATTAATGAAAAAAACCTGGACTTGGATTCTTAAAGAAACTTACAGGGAATAGATTAGACCTTAGAGAGTTTACCAAGAACCTTTTTCCTTTATCTATAATAGAAGAAATTAGACATATTTAGATATATTAAAATGGCTGTTGTGCAGGCTGTACATTTAGCTAATCATATTCTTGAAGATGAAATCAAACTTCAAAAAAGGAAAAAACAAGAAGGGTTGTATCACACTAACTTGTATAGCAGTTTAGCAGATGGAACCCTCATTACCACCTTTGACACACTGTCATAAAATAAAACAAGACACAGGTGTGTGTACAATCACCATAAAGAATACATCCCACTGAGTGACATTAATGAAGACTGATTATAATTTGGCCCTACATTTTTAAAAACATATCTGTTCAACGTCTGGAAGTACCACAGAGGATGTACCAGATTAGTGCACTGAACTTGAAGTAGACTTGGCATGAAATGTGCCTACAAAAGACCAAAAGAATGCCAATTACTGTTGACATTTCTACCAAAAATAGAAAAGTCTACTGAAAAAAAATTGTGAATAAAATATCTCAGAATAAAACAAAATACTCATGGATTACACTATACATATTCTGCACTATATTTATTATATGTATTATTCATCCTTTTATGTACAGTTTCAGTACTAAGCCCTTCAGAACAGAAAAGATATGTGAAGACTATAAAGAAAGTATAATACAGACTTTCACAAACCCATCCTTATTTCTTCAAAAGAGGTGAGGAAATTATGAGAATGGTAGTTTCAACAACAGGAAGATGTCTGGAGTAAGAAAAAAGCCAGTGTAATATAAATTTACCTTCAAGCAACAGGTAACTGCCTGTTGATAGAACAATTAGCCTTGACTAAAGCAAAAGATGATGAGAGTTAGAATAAAGGAATCAACTTCTGAATGTAGCTTGAGAAGTTTCAAGAGTGGAATGGCTATATACAGAGCCATTTTAACCTAAAGTCACAGAAAACTGAACATGCCCAATATGATCTAATGAGTCTCTGATAGCACATATGCTGGTATTTGAGTCTGTTTTCCTTGATTTTATTTCCTTTGAATTTCTCCATTACTTGAGTTTCAGAATGCAAGAGGTAAATCAAGATCTATGCTTAACCATAGAATCATAGAGCAACTTGTGTTGGAAGGACCTCAAGGATCACCCAGCTGCAACCACTCCGTACCTCAGGCAGGGCTGCCAACCAATAAATCAGGCACTAGACCAGGCTGCTCAACTCCTCATCCAACCTGCCCTTGAACACTACCAGGGATGGTGCATCCACAGCCTCTCTGGGCAGCCTGTACAGATTTGCTGTTGCATAATGTATACACAGAGATGGTGCATTGCATGTTCCAAAAACTATTCATCTGTTGTTTTTACAAAGTCTATGGTGAAGGTGGTAATAGAGATATATAAAAGTTTTCCTCCTGTTTTAAGGTTTCTTACCCTTTTCTCACATTGTCCCTGAAGCCACAGGCACAATTTCATAATATTCCATCTACTGATACATGAAGAATCTAGTAATATCACAAAAGAATACTCAAACTTCATAAAATTATTCCTTTGATGTTGCATCCTAATTAGAGATGGAATGTTCATTTGGTCCTTTTCCTAAATACTTGAGTTTTCATGGAAACTTGCATCTGAACAAATTTCTACAGTACTACCTCTCATGCACAAAAACTATTTTACAATATTTGGTCCCCTTTCAGAAAGAAAATATTCAGATACATTAAATATAAATATTTTTTTTATTGCTGATGGTCAATAAAGAGCAACTATCAATTCATCTCCTCCTCCCCAAAGCAGTCTATGTACAGTAGGACAAATTTCTACTCCTTTCTCCTCTCCTATTTGATTATCTATTACTCAAAGATTATTTACTCAAAGATATATAAGTATTGCAAACTTTATTAGCAGATCACTGTTACCCACATATTAAAGTAAAACTGCCACAGATTATGAACCATAATGAGCTGGTAAATTAACACAAAGGCTCAATTTCAAAAATATGAATAGTACGAAGTTTTTCCCAGTATATTCCCTATTAACTTTGTGAGCTAGTGAACTCCTGCAATGGACATCCAAATTATTTTACTCTGCTTATTGGATTGGATTAGTACTAGTTTGTGCCTTCCAATCGTAGTTTATGTTAAGTAATTTGCCAGTAGGCTTTGGTATTCTATTCTATGTCTGATAGACTTATCATATGAATAAGTATGTGGCAGAGAATATCACAAAAAAAAAAAAATACAAACAAAAAATAATGCTTAAATACACGCCTCACGAGGGGCTCTGTGACATGCTGGCACATATGGACCTTAGATTTCCATGGACGTTAGAGGAAAGGTCTAATTAATACAGATCAACTCTTATAAAATTAACTACTGGGCTTCCTTATTAGTTTTGATTGTTTAAAGGGAAACTGATCGTTAAAAATTACATACGAAAAAATGAAATAATTATTATTTATAAATATGAATGATTATTTATAAAATGAAATAATAATGAAAGAAAAAGACTACTTGGGGTTTAAAACAGTCTTCAAAAACATTGTAATGTTAAAAGAAGAATGAATTATTTATGGTATCAGACCATCAAAATTAATACAATCATTACACATTTGTCTAAATTCATTAAAACATTTATCCTAAATGAAAAGAAAAACTATTGAACAGGTGAGATTCCACATATGAAAATATAATCTTTTATCTTAAAAGCCAATAAAATTGTTATATACATTATAGAAACTATAGCTGTTATACGATATCAACATGTTTTTTGTACTTTCATCCTCTGTCCTTGGACATATTATGACAGTGCAGAAATTCTGAACAAACATGAGAAATTCCAGAGCTGTATGAAACTTATGTTTCCACTGACAAATAATCATTTTCTGATTTAGGTTATTATTATTATTTTTAATTCTGATTTTGTTTATTCTCCTTTGGAGTATAACGTTGAACACAGAACACAAAGTCTTCCAATTAAAAAAAAAATGAAGAGGGAGAATTTAACTTTAATTAACTTTCTAATTTTGCATGTGTGTGAAAGTTTATACATTTCACACTGAGTACATTTTAGCATTCTACCCAGAACTGCCCAGATCTGCCACAGTATGAAACTCATCCAAAATTGCCACAGTGAAAAATGACAAGTACTTTATGGTAAGTGCTTCATTTTCATTAAGCATAATGGACACGTTTTCTAAAAGTGTGCATCCTGGCAAACGTCCTTTCTGCCTCAATTCCCCCTCCCCAGGGGACCATTTTCAAATTCAGAATTAAGTGCACAGCAAGTTGATACTTTATTTCTGAGCGGCTTCTCATTTAGTCAACAACATTCTGGGCCACTTCATTTTGAAAATATGCAAACTTTCCAAGCTTTAAGCACTTCTGTAGAAAATATTTCTTATCCAGGACATTTAAAAGATTTATTCAAGTAGGTTAAATTTAAGTTTTATTTATCATGTTTCATACAGCTCTTACTAGAATATTAGCTATAGCCATCATTTTGGTTTTGCTCCTTCGCAAACAGATCAGAAATATTTAACCATACATTCCACTGAGAAAACATCTCACAGTAAAACTTATTTGAGCACATGCTTTAGAAAACAAACATTCAATTTTCCAGACTAGAGGGCAGTATTCAATGCTGAAGTGGCTAAGTTCATGACCCTGCAGAAAGCTAGGATCATAATAACCCCACTTTGCTTTCTACCAGAAATTACATTTAAAAGCTCTATCTGGCAGAAGTGCAAGTCTACTGTAGTCTTGGGGCAATGCTAAAACATATATCTATTTAAATTTACCTTATTGACATCCATTCGTAACTTCTCGTTGTTGGCACTGGCAGCTTTTTCTGCTGCTTTCTTTTGACGCTGAGGTCCCCTGCCAAAGAAGATGTAGTTGACCAAAGCATACTCTAGCAGAGCCATGAAAACGAAGACAAAACATCCCATAAGATACATGTCAATGGCTTTCACATATGGGATTTTGGGAAGAGTCTCTCGAAGATGAGTGTTAATTGTTGTCATGGTGAGGACAGTTGTGATTCCTGAAAAAAAAAAAATAATAATAATTATAAGCCTGCTGACTGAACTTATTTTAAATGTTCTAGCATTGTAGTTCAAAATAATCAACTGCTAGTGCTGGAAAGAAATTCTAGATTTGTGTTTTTTTCCAGGTAGAAAAAACAAACAGAAAACCTTGGTCTTCCTTAGTCTTAAATTTTTTTGTACAGCAAAGAAAATTACTAGTATCAAACAGTAGTTGGATTGTACAAGTATGCTTTTAACCAGCTGAACCATACCCTACTGGAACAGCCTCAGTTACAAATCACCAGCCTAGGGTCACTGTATCTTGCTTTCCTCCAGCATTTTCAATGCTGCCTGTAGACTACAATTCTTATCATAAAATACTAAAGGCCTGGCAAAACTCTGACAGTATTCCATAATGTTAAAATGACAAATTCTCAATTGTCCTTTGCAGCAATTTACTTATCTGTAGCAGAACAAAATTGGAAAGAATTGATCTGATTTATACAGAATTTGGCAATAGATATTCATTACCTATACAACCCAAGTAAAGCTTTATTTAATTTATACCCAAAAGAAAAAGCAATTTATACTCTACAATACACAGCTCTGAACTGCCATGAGCAAAAGAAAACTGAATGCATTCTCTTAACAGAAGAACAAGCAGTAAAACAACAACAGAGAATACAGACAATTAGGCTAATTCTGGTTACAATGATTATACAGTTAGCTAATCTAGACATGAAATCACTTTAATTTATATTTAAATTGGGATGACTTAAACACTGATTCAAATAATACAAAGCTTGCAAGCCAGATCTAACAGATTTATTTTTCCAACCATGCACTATCCCCCATGCCAGAAGCAAGAAAAACGCTTCAACTAATGCACACTATGAGAGGTGTAAAAATGCCTACCTAAAGCAACTCTTGCAGCTGAAGCATCATAATTAATCCAGAAGGAAACCCAGGAAAGAATAGTGATCAGAATAGAAGGCATGTAGGTCTGCAGAATGAAGTAACCAATGTTTCTCTTAAGTTTAAAGCTGAGAGACAGCCTTGGGTAGGCACCTAAAAGAGAATATTTGGTATGGCCATAATTTACTCATATAAAGCCTGAAAACATTTTCCTGTCATTTCGGTTTTACTGCTTCCTGCAGCAAAGACTACACAGAGAGCTGAAAGACCCTGAATAATCAGCTGTAGGGTTTCTAGCAAGAATTGAGATTAACTAATCTATTACTTGAAGGGTACAAGGAAGCTACTGGGTTCATTTCTGCTGGTAACCATAATATTCAAAAATCAACAGTCAAAACACATTTCACAGCATCAAAATGTAAGTGTTTCTTTGCTGACAAGCTGCAGTATGCTTCCTTCAGTGTAACCTTTACTCTAACCTCTTCGGGCATTGCAGTGCTTCCCTTTTGTCACGAACAGCAGAAAAATTGTGGTGTGTGAAGCACTCATTGAAATGGGCACCTGGAAATCATAATGTATTCAAGTCCCATTTCTGCTTCACTTTTGAAGAATCTGGAATACACAGTGCCTCTGTATTTCCTCCCAAGACGATTTCTGTCTATATCTAAAAAATGATTATGTGTTTTTCTTGTTTGTTTGTTTTGCTTTTTTTGTTTTCCTTTTTTTTTTCCTTCCTAATCTAATACCTATCAGCTTTCTTGAGTAGGTGGAGAACACCAAATAGAAATAACTCAAATCATTTGAGTGATTTAATGTCATTTCAACCTGTTATACAACACCTTTTCAGCCTTCAGAAAATCGTATGTTTGCTAGCATAGTATAAACTACAAATCTTGTGGAAGGACGATATGAAAGGTTTTATGGTGAAGACCAAATAATTAGCCTAACACAACCATGGATTGAAAAAAAAAACACAACACCTGCAAATGGAGAGAAAAGTTCTTACAAACTGAGCTATTTCTTGTTGGGAGTTAAGGAGATGAGGGGTGTGTGTCTTGGTCAGTTTCACAGAAAACCAGAAAATCTGACTAAGTCTTAATGTAACGGTCTGTTGTATTCTTTTTATAGATTAATGAGGAACAGATTGTGAAGCTGTAATAAAATCCGCTTGTTTTAAAATTCTGTTTTAGAGTTCAGAGTTGCTGCTCTGATTTACTCCTGTATCTAAAATTTTCAGATCCTGAACTGCACATTGAGAATTAGACCATTTTTAGTTTTCTCAGTTAATTCCCCTTTTAGCTTCCCATCCACAAACCTGTAGAGAAAACAACGTTCTTGGTGATAAGCTTGTAGTCTACAATGGAGAACTGTGGCAGTTCAATCTTTGTGACTCCTGTGACTGCATTATCACCACCACGCCAGTAAAATTCAATGTCGTCTGTCGTATAGCCGTCTATAAAACAGGAGCAAAGTGTTAAAATACGCATCAAGTCTTATGTAATGGAGAACAGTCTGGAGAATTCATTCAGAAAATATGTGAAATATATTTCTGAAACTAAAATATTAATGATAGAACAGATACATATGCACAGACAGGTACCAGTAATTCTAAATTTCATTTTGTTGTGGTTGAACCCAGCAGGCAGCTAAGCACCACACTCCTGTTTGCTCACTCCCTTCAACATAAGACTCATGGGTTGAGATACAAGCTATTTACTAAGACAGAAAAGGAAATCGGAAGCAAAAATGTGATAATAACTCTCTTTCTAAATATATATATGTACACCTGTATTGCAAATGATCATCATCTGCCAAGTAATGCTCAGCCATTCCCCAAACAGCGGCCAAGAGAGAAATTCAGCATAGAGTAGCTCATGATATTTGCTCTGTATACAATGTAGTTTACAACTTCACTGGTTGTGTTTCAGCAGCTTTAAACTGGAAGATGGCAGATTTAGATCAGATATTAGAAAGAAATTCTTTACTGTGATGATGGTGAGACACTGGAACAGGTTGCCCAGAGAGGCTGTGTATGTCCCCACTCTGGACGTGCTCAAGGCCAGGCTGGATGGAGTTGTGAGCAACCTGGTCTAGAGGGAGGCATCCCTGCCTATAGCAGGGGGGGGTTGGAACTAGATGAACTTAAAGGTCCCTTCCAACCCAAACCATTCTAATAGTCAATATTTTTTTTTTTTTTTTGGCTGATGCTGAACTGTTGTTCAAATCCATTTAGATTTACTTGTAAAACAAGGTCATTCCTTTTTCCCAAGGAAGCTTAAATACAATAGAAGATGGCCACAATTAGTGTGGCACTCACAAGACACAACAATAATAGATTCAAAAGCCATTGCTCTTTAGGGCAAAAAAAAAAAAAAAAAAACAAATAACAGCAACAAATATCACAGAAAAAAAAAGAAACAAAAAAGAAACATAAAACAGTATTAGTTTTCCCACTCATAAAACACATGGACGAAATTTGAATTTAAGTTATTTATACAGCAGGTGAGCTAACTTATATTAGAGTTGATACAGAGTACCAAACAGTGGAGAACATAAATAAGTTCACAAAAAAAAAAACAACAACACAACAGAAAGTTTTAACCTATTAAAGGTTTTTGTTGTTGAAAATTGAAAAAAGAAAGATGAGTTCTGAACAATTAATGACCATTTTCCTTTGCAAAAGTCAGATAAAATAATAAACAGATTTGAGTGAATTTCACATTCCTATCTATAGACAAAAATCAAAATTACACTAAGCACCACTCAAGAGTATGACTTGATTTCAAGCACTTTTGCAGATTATGCACTCTGTGATAACTCAGAATTTATAAAACTTGTACCACATAGTATTAGTTTTTGATTAGTGTTTGATAATCCACACAAAACACAGGTGCACAGCAGTAGCAGAAGGCCTGCAAGTTTGAAGATGCAAAGACAATATTCCGTGAAAACATTGAAACAACCATAGAAATCTATTCCAAATACAGTAGGTTTTGAAGTATTTTGGTAGTTGTATTCTTACAGAAGTTTGAAGGCAATTCCACTTTTGTGTATATGTCACTCCTTCCTTCTGTTTTTCATGGGTCTAGCAGCAAACCTAAAGCAGTCTAATGGTAAAAAACTGAAAACCAAATTCTGTAAACAGAGCAGTCTCATTCAGAGAGAACAGATTTTGAACATATAATCAGCATCAAGGATTCAAGAGACAACCCTGCTCTTCTTTCAAAGTTGCTGAAATTGACAAAAAATAAACTAATGAAAACAGATTTTAAGAACTTTCTTGTGAAACACGTTTTATTAACCTTTCCATTTATAAAAAAATTACCTTTGATAGGCAACATCAACCAAGTTAAAACAAGGACAGTATCTTCTAATTAAGATTCAACAGTGAAAGGAGAAAAAGACCTGCAATGCAAAACATTGCCTTTGATGTATCCAGAACTTCTTAAGAAACGGAGCTTAAATTCACAACAACAAATAGCTTACATCAGTGGTTACTGATTCTTTGCCAGTTATACTTGCTTTTTTGCTTCATCAAGAAGAAAATAAAAACATAATTTGAACTAACAGCTTCAGATAATATTTAGCTTCCCTCGTCTGTTTGGACAGCATCATAAACAAAATCATCTACATTCTTCTATACTGATTTTTTGTGAAATGAAGTATTTCATAGATGTCAATCTTTGTATTGATTGCACATTAATTTTCAGAGTCCAAACCATGAGAGGTCTGAAAAAGAGCCAAGATTAATGCTATCTGTCAGCAGGCCTATCCTCTGTAATTAAACAAACAGTAACCATGATTCCACAATCATACTGATGACACTTTGTGATACAAAAAAGTATGCTCAGACATACATTTTTAATTATAAGAACCTAGGAGCTTTGAGTTATCTCATGAAGAAAACTACAGCATAAACTGTTGTGTTGACCAAGTGATGCTATATTTAGAAATAAGAAAAGCAGAATGACTTCCAATGACCATGCACTGCATTCTTAGTTTGGCCAAGAAGAGTTAGAACTGATTTGTTCTATAGTATCAGTTCTTTAAAAAATATATAACAAAAAAATGAAATTAAAGACTTTCCCAGGAAATGGGAATTGTTTTGTTCTCAAGAGAAAATAATGCATTTTGATGCTTAGTAATAATTTTCTGAAACTGCCTAATTGTATGGGAGCCTTCCTCCCTATCTTTCATTTCTTCAATTAGCCTTGTCCTGCTTCCTCCACAGTCCAAAGACAGCTAAAGACAGTAATTGTTACATGATAGAAGAGTGCAACACTTTAAATTCCCTTCCCTTCCTGAAATACTGAGGCTCTTCTAGTTATTGAACATGTTAAGAAACAAATAATTAGTTTACCGAGCTAACAGACTGTTCTATCCTGTACACAGCTTGAAAAACTTCATACTTATTCACCTTTAATTTAGGATGTTCTGCTTTTTATTATTATTTCAATATTTTTGTTGCAAGTTTATATCAGGTTCTGTCTCTGTTACTGTTGGTATAACTTTGGTCCTTCCCTGGATTGACGCTACAAATGCCTTATCCTGCCAGAGCCAGTCCTCTGGTTCTCCAGTGGATACCTATAAAAAATGTTTTCCAGCAAATAGAATTTATTACATTCAATTTGTACATTGTTACTTTCCACCTGAATCTGCCAATAACAAAAGCTGGGCATTTTCCCAAATACTGTGTGGAAAAAAGACTTGGCCCTTTCAGTGACACATGTAGGGCCAATGCAGGGCCAGTGGAAAAGCTGTTGCATGACAGGAAGTTAGCAGTGGGGCACTACTTGTTGAATGGCTGTTTCCACTCACTACGCGATCCTAGATTTTAAGTACTACTAGATCTACTTCATTTGCTTTAAAAAGGTATTTTCCAGGGAGATTAGTGGTACGTGGATGGAGTTCGTTAGTAGCTGGGTTCACAGAAAAACAGGCCCAATTAAATGAGTCATTTTAAAGAGAGGCACAAATCCTTAACTCTTGTTAATTTGTTGGTCGTTTTTTCCCAGGGTTACATGGCATGAGAAACACATGCAGAATCTGCAGATTTGAAATATATCAGGTTGTCATGATATCTTTTACTTTTCCGGTCACAATTCCATCTTCAGAAAAAAGGCAGATAGCTTTTTGTTTCCTTGTATACTGTTACTTCCTGTCTGACACGTCTCATTCTCAGCCTTCAGTGAAGTAACATAAGAAAACATAACATACAAAAAGAAATAATAAACTGGATGGTGGTGAGCTATAAGAGCAGGTATGTATTAGGAAAAATATATACTGAGTTTAAAAATGATATTACATACATTGCATATATTGTTTTGATACTGCTGAGTTCTGTTTCTATTATATCTTAAACCTACTAATTTCAATGGCACCTTCCAGATAAAAGATCATTTACTGAATTTGGAAGGATTTATCAGGAAAACATTTTGAGGCAGTTTAATTGTTAAGCTTTACAACTAATAAATCAATCTTTTGTTTTCCTTTCTGACCAAATAAATGAGTTACAGCAGGAAAAAAACCTGTTGTGTTCATAAAAAACCTCAATGGTCCTTTATTCTGTTCATTTCTTGAACATCTATTCATAGATTTTTCTGCCCAACTGCTTACACACAGTTTGGTCCTGAATCATATAATCATACCAAGGGTAATGCAGGAAAGAACTCCAGATTGAATGTCCAGCACGTAGCCAAAATTTCCAGCTCTCCCTCTCTATCAATAAGGATGAGAGATGTGGTTAGGCTGCTCCCTATTCTCACAGCATTAGTACTAGGTAAATATTGACAATTCCATCTTGAGGAGAGCTGAACTCCTTTAAAAATTCTCACCAAAATATTCAAGTTGATGATTCCAATCTAAGCATCTCTGCACTCCTCTGGGAAATACGTGCAGAACTCCCTGCTGCTTAATTTTACGCTGAGGAAAATGTTAAGCTAAGGCTTTGATGCTGAATGACAAGACTGGCTAGCGGGCATCAGTAAGAATAGTTTTAGGAAGTCTCTTCAAGCTTTCATTAAAATACCTCTCTGCCCTTCCAAGAAGGGTACATTATCTCTTTCATTTCATAACATAAGGAAGGAGAGAAAAGAATAATATAGTCATCTTCAAATGAATGCTATTGTGAACTGCTGAAGTACTCATAGATAATTGGATATGAGTCCAGAATCTGCAAAACATCTGCCAGAAAAGAAAAAAGGCCTATTCATGTCTCTAGCGGATGTTTTACAGGTATTAAGGTCCAATTATCTCTGGTTATAATAAACTCCATCTGCAGGTATTTGGAACTCAAAACAGCTCTACATATATAAGCTAAAATTATTTAAAGACCAACCAATTTTAAAAAGTAATAGTCTAGGAAAATGATTTATGAACCTTGACAAGAAAAGCAGAATAAATGAATTTAATATTTCTAAATTGTCAGATAACATCAGTAATGAAGGAAGCAAA